GCTCTGCCTGCCTGACCTAACAGTCTCGCAGGTCGCCCCCACCACAACCCGTCCGTTACCCGCCTTTGCTGGAAAACGGGCCGCAAAATATAGGTATTCTCGGACTCCCCTGCGTTCTTCTCGGTCTCAAGCAACCCATCGGCCGTGCCTATAGACAAGGACGCCGCGGTCGTGGAGGTCATAGCTAGGGCTTCTTGGCCCAGTGTGTCGAGATGAAGGCCTGGCTGGTGGCGGCGCGGGACTCCGAAACCGTCGCCAGGGCGACAGCACCGCCCTTGGCCCTGACGTAAAGCGGCTGCGTGCTCCCAGCAAAGAGGCTCTCCCTTCTCAGCGGGTCTGGCGGCCCTCCCCAGCGCCTGCGCACCAGCTGCTGGGCGGAAACCGGCTGAGCTAAGGCGACCCTAACTTTGGCGCAGGGCTGTTGGAACCTGTGGGGATCGCAAAGCGCTTCGAAGTTTGTCAGCGTTTATTAACCGCGCTACAATTTTAGGGAATTGACGCGGAACCTGAGGTTCATAGAGATCCAAGGATATGAGGCTATTGGGCGGCAGGGCTCTAAAAAAAGGGCATTCTCACTGTGGCCTGTGGGCAAGGCCAACCTTCATTTCATTATGCAAGACTTGTGAACGGGTTTTGTATTTTTAAATGATCGAAAAAAAAATCAAAAAAATGTTTCGTGACGCGTGAAAACTACACGTGAATTTAACATTTCAGTATCTGTAAAGTTCTGTTGTAACGTAGCTATGCTCGCTTGCACATGTGTGGCCGCTTTTGCACTGTATTGAGCGAATTGAGCAGTTGCAACAGAAACCATATGGCCTTTTACAGAAAAAGTTTGCAGTGCCCTGCTCTACTCCATAACTGCCAACTCACAGTTCCCCTAGCCTCACCCACACCATACTCTCCGTGCAAAATTCAGAAAGGAGTAGACATTAAGGTGTATTCCCCACTTACGAGCACCAGTTTCTGGTCCTGTTGTAGAAGACTGTAGTATCTTGGCCTCTACCAGCTTCAAAAACTAAGAAAAGAATTTCCCCCAGTATCCATCCAGGCTTCCTATTGGTTGGATTAACAAATTCCAGAACTTCCTTCTATAAGATGCAAAGGGAGTATTTCTATAAAAGTATACCTTTGCAAGCTCCAGTAGAGACTAATTTTACTATTCCAAGTTTTGGTTTACAATGTGTTTTCTTGATAGTATAGCCTAGATTGGTCTCCCCGAGTCCGGTAAACTCCCCTGAACTTCACCTTCCCAGTCCACCCTTCACAGTGCCCCCAGAATGGCTTTCCTTTGTCACTGCTCTGCTTGAAATCTGTCAGTGGTTCCTTAGGACCATCTCCCCAGCATTTGCTGCAAGTAAGACCTTTCATGATTTGGCAGGGTTGCTGAACCTTCCTCCTGGCACTGACCAGCAGACTGGGGTCTGTGCAAGGGCCGCAAGGCAGCTCAGTGCATGCCCTCAACCATGCCGTCTTTAACTGCCCCTTGATTCAGCAGCACTAGCCCCATCTTTGGCTGGGGTCATGCATCCACAGACTAGCCTTGCACAGAAATTCAATGTCTCCTAAGGGGCAGAGAGTGTTTTTCTCCTTACTATTTCACCAGCCTTAAGAAATCATACCCCTAGGAGCACCTGAGTGGCTTAGTAAGTTAAGCATCTGACTTTGGCTTGGGTCATGATCTCACGGTTAGTGGGTTTGAGCCCTGCATCGGGCTCTGTGCTGACACTCAGAGCCTGAAGCCTGCTTCAGATTCTGTGTCTCCCTCTCTCTGCCCCTCCCCAGCTTGGGCTCTGTCTCAATCTCTCTCTCCCAAAATAATAAATAAACATTAATTTTTAAAGAAATTTTTTAATGTTTTATTTATTTTTGAGACAGAGACAGAGCATGAGCCGGGGAGGGGCAGAGAGAGAGGGA